CCCCCCCCGGCCAACCCCCTTTTATGAACTGAGCATGATGTGTATGGTATGGAATATCTCTTTGGCCAGCTTGTCCTGCCTATGCTCCCTCTCAGCTTCTACGGGAAGCTGAAAAAGTCCTTGACTGATACAAACATTACTCAGCAACAACTAAAACAATACGTGTTATCAACTTTCTTCTCATACTAAATCCAGAACACAGCAGCTACTAGAAAGAAAATTAACACTATCACAGCTGAAACCAGGACACCCTGAAGTAACAATTAACAATTTAATTCTATTATTGAAGGGGAATGTGCCTATAGAGATTATCACAATCTCGTGGTGTTTGAAGGGCAAAATATATAAACAAGACAGTACATCAATGAATATTTCCTCCTCTCTCCCTCAGGATAAGGCATAGCAACTGTGTGCATCTCTATCTGAAAGCAAGGAAGGGATGTACTGTTCAGTTATTGGTAATGTTTTACAGGGCTTTACTGCAGTGCTTGATATTCCTATCTGACTATGGAGAATTCCACAGGACATTCCTCCAGGGTGGGAGACACATGAACTCTGAAAAGTATGGTGACACTTTTTGACATAGGTCTGCGTTATCAAACTGATTCGGACATGTACACAGCATTACATCAACCTGTCAGAGGAGTGAACATGGCTTATCTTACACCTGTGTATGTGGAATGCTTTCTGCATTTGAATTAAGGCTAAAGAGTACTCTAGATCAGAACTTTTCACTTCCAGGGTTAATGGTCTAGTCTGAAAAGAAAAGCAGGATTTAGTTGCTGTGGCTGTTGAGTTTTGGGAAAATCACAGTCCTTTACCTGTGGGGCAGGTGTAACCTGTGCACACCGACCAGCAAGAATGCCTTAAGGGCTGTGAGCTCAGCACTGTCCAGCCTGGAGGTTTCAAGTGGTCATAGGTAGGAGAGAATACAGATCTTGGAAAGTACCACAGCTGTACTTCAGCATCTGTGAGAATATATTCATTAAATGCTTGGCTCCAACAATGTAGATGAGAGATTAAAACAACTATGCTTTTGACCTCTAGTGCTTACCTACTAAGTATAACAATGGTGTGGTCCTCTCCTCTCCTCTCCTCTCCTCCTCTCCTCTCCTCTCCTCTCCTCTCCTCTCCTCTCCTCTCCTCTCCTCTCCTAGCTTTCCCACATGCCCTGCTGGAGCTCTCCTCTCGTCTCCTCTCCTCTCCGCTCCTCTCCGCTCCTCTCCTCTCCTCTCCTCTCCTCTCCTCTCTCCAGAAATGAAGAGCCAGCAGAGAAAGAGCCAGAGCCAGAAATTAAGTGTTTGTAACAAGAAGCAAAACTGCTGCACCTTGAAGTGGGGCTGATTACAATAAACACTGGTTCATCAAGGTCTTCCTGTCTTTAAATTCTGCTCTATAATTAAGCTTACATTCATCTGACCTACGCACGTCAAAAGGCCCGGGATGCCAGATATGCTGTACTTCACCTTTTCTAGAAAAGTTTTTGGTGGAATTCCTGCAGGTGTTGACATTAACATTCAGTGCTTTTCCACTGATACATGTAATTGTTAATTCCCCTGCAAAGAAACCTCCTAGACATCTTAGAAAATGAACCTGGAGGGAACCTCAAGAGACTGTTCTAGGATTTGTTCTCCCATTTGCTGGCTCATGGCACCAGAGCCCAAGTCCCCCACTAAACTTCTTGACTTCAACCCAGGGTCCTGCTGACAACCAGCTGCTGCCTGCAACTGGCCCACAAAGCTCTTCATCAAACAGCATAGCAAGCTGTGTTTTTCAAGCTTTGCACACTGGTTATGTTTCGCAGAACTTTGTATCTTTCCTGCTCTCCTTTGAATTCTCTCGAGTTCCAGGTGGTCCGCATCTCTCCTGAAGCACGATGCCCAAAGCTGGGTGCAATCCCGTGACTTTGCAAGTGCCACATAGATAGAAAGCGTGAACTCAGGTATGGCACATATTACATTCCCATTTGTACTGTGAATTTAATGTCGTCTTTGTACTAGTGCATCACCTTTTGTGTTTTTAAGACTGAGCCATGATCCTGCATCCAAATATCCCAGGACTTGAGACCTGGATTCAAATCCAAGATTGTGAACCTAGAGCTGTTCAAACTTCCCAGCCTCATATGGTCAGACTTTTTGAGTTAGTTTTGGTTTGGGTTTTTTTTGGGTTTTTTGGGTTTGGTTGGTTTTTTTTTTTTGTGGGGTTTTGGTTTGTTTGGTTTTGTGGTGGTGTTTATTTATTTATTTATTTAATTATTCATTTATTCTTTTGGCAGCTAGCACCCTTGGAAATCCCACAGAGTTAAACGCCCCTATGTCTTTGAAGCGGGTAACCAATTTTTCATCCACGTTCATACGGGGCCATCTGGTGGTGAAGCGTGAGCTGGGCCAGAGAGGCCGAAGAGAGATACTTGATGGCTGGAGTGTTTCAATCCCTTCTTGACCTGAAGTCTTGTATCTCTAGACTCTTATGTCTGTTCTTTCTCTCCCTCTGCTTCTGTCCCCCTTCCTTGCTGATTATCTCCCTCTTTCTCTGGAATAACAATTCAATTTCAACTTGGCCACTAGTGTTTTTCTTGTCCCAGTAGTTTGTTCATCAGTTTGCCCCCCAAGCCTTCCTCCCTAACTTGCCTAGATGAGAGGACTGTCCAGCTTCTGACACTGGAAATTACCTTGTGCTGCTCCAGCAAGAACTTCTTGTTTCTATGCTGCACTTTTTTTTTGGGCCTGTAACTTGGCAGGAAAACATGGCATTATGGGTTTGATTTATCAGCACCCTTGTTAAGCTCTAACTGAACTTTATGGTTCAATGTTATATAAAAATGAATTATGAAAACAGTTAATTTTGAGTTGCCTACATTTGAAAAGTAATTTTCTTTTGTGTGCTTTGATTCATCTCTGTCATTGTTTCAAGCAGACATTTATCTATTCACCCTCTTTGAATATCTCTTTATGAATTTGATCTTCATGTGACAATCTGAAAAGCAGGTTGTGGTGTATGGCTATGTATGAACATCTAACCTGCCATTAGCCATTTTCTATATAAAGTGCAGCTTAATATCTCTATTATTAATCTCAGCCAAAATTCCGCTGAGGTATTTACACTATGAAATCTGAAGACAACATTGTTTTCCAGGAATCCAAATGTGTGTGTATCAAAGAAGGGAAAAGGTTTTAATGAAAATGACCAAAAACTGCCACTGAGGGAAATGTAGTTCTTAAAATACAAATGAAGTCCAGCAAACAAACTTCTAGACACTTCATGTCAGTCTCCTTGTATCATCTCAACCTAGTGTTTCTATTTCTGAAGGTGCTTCTGTCCTCGTGAGGCAATTTCTCAAATTCTTTGGCAAGTACTTTGATACCATTATAAGAGAAATAGGGTTCATTATTCCTCAAACAGAAAAAAGCACAAAAGGGTTAGATTCTAGTTAGTAAACATAATCAATTAATACTCGCCCTTGCCAACTTAAAGAAGAAAAAAAAAAAGAAAAAAGAAAAAAAAAACAAACCACAAGCTAAAACCAAAGAGTGTTTCTTCAGGTTGATAACAACCCCACTAGGGCAAGAAAGGTCTCCTCCTTGCAATTTCAAAGAGGATGTGGTTTTCTTTGTTTCCTGTCTGGTCATCATGCAGCCTTGCAAAACTGTTCTTACCTAAGGCAATAATGTATTGGATGCATGAGTAAAATACCCTCGCCATTTTTTCTTTGTTTTGCTGTATTTTTTCCATGCAGGTAAAGACCATGTTAATAGTTTTTTTATGCCAGTTAAAGCACAGAGTACTTTTCCCCTAGCATTTTTGCAGGGCTATTTTGCTTATCACTGTTTATTAGGACAAATTGTCCGACGAGTTCCATTGAAAACAAACCTTGGGATTAAACAGTGGAAAGTACCGTGAGTTCAGGAGGTTGGAGAAACATTTATTTGCTGAGCCACCATTTCTGTCAGAGGAATCAGAAGAATTTGCTGAAAGATTGACCAACTCTGGCTTATAATATAGTAATGTAGTACCTTACGAGGAAGAATTGATGGTTTAATCCTGTCTTGCTTTCAGTGTCTTTTTCCAGCAATCTGCTGTCTTGGAAAGCGAAACAGAGATGGAAACCCAATTTAATGATCTGCAATCCCAGTTTAGTTACTGAAGAGAACTTTTTGTGCTCATAGCAATGACGGAAACACCAAAGACAAGTGCCAGATATTAGCTCAGCACACAGATATGGCAGCATTAACTTTTGCAGCAGGGTCCTGGGTAGTTTGTTCATGCACAGAATTGAAGAAACCCATCAGAACAACGGCGCAGGAAATGTCAGAATTTATCCACTAGGCTGAAGAAGAAGACAGAGGAATTTATATTCTGATTTGAAAAAAAAAAACCAAAACACCGAAAAAGACAGATCCATGGCCCTAGGGAACCTTCTTATGGTCCCCTTTATTGATGTACTTCAGCATGAACTGAGCAGCTACCATTTCTTTAATGCAAAAATCAGAAATTATTTTCCATCCAGCCTACCACCTGCTTTACTTTCAAAATAATATAAAAAAAGAAAAGGTAATTAAAACTACATACACATTACCACAGAAGAAGCTTGGAAGAACGAGACCTTAAGCATACTTTTTACATGTTATTTTATCTAATTTTTATACTGATTTACTCTTGCAACATTTAGTGCAATAGGCTGTCCATTGTGATCACTTACACAGCATCAATGGTTATGTCACGGGTTCTGTCATGCTTGCATTAGCAGCATCATTATGGTTAAAGTGCTATCATTGCTTGACTGTTTAAAATTCTTATCAGGCACTTTTCCAAAGCCTTACTAGCAGCGGTAGTTTTGGAGACTTCTAGGTCATGAAAGAATATGGGTTCTCTGTTTCAAAGACAGAATCATGACCATAACGCAGTACAAACATTAAGCTTTATTTTGGTTCTCAACGCCGCTTTGGGACCAACAGCCTTACAGTGACTGGCACTACGAAAACAACCTATCCATAGCTTGTATGGAAACCCAACAGTTCGACTTCACAGGAGGAAGGGGGTCGTTCCGGAAGTGGCGGGTTTTCCCGGCGCGCTGGGTGGACCTGGTGGCCAGACCTGGTGGCCAGCGGAGTCTCGGAGCTGTCCGCGGTGCTGAAACACCGCCCCCCGGCCCGGCCGTCGCCCCCCAAGGCTGGATGGAGGCGAAGCCACCCCGAGGTGGTGGCAGGAAGAGGTACAACCCTATGGCACAAGGCTTGCGTTAGCAGTGAGGCTGGAAACATTGTCCTCATGCTGTATTTTAATTCTGCTGTTCTTGGTGATTTTCATAGATCACTCTTTTCCCTCAGCACGTTTACGATCGGAGTGGAGGAAGTCAATACACAAGACGTTTCTTTGCAGCACTCGTCACTTAAAGAATATGCCGGATACAAGTAGTGGAAAACCCTCTGAAGACACAGACAATAAGCATGTACTTCCAGTAGTGCTAAATTTATTCCTGTGACTTCAGGTAAAGAAGGCATGTGTAAGCACTTCTCACAGGCAAATAAATAAACTGCATGCAAATATTTAATCTTATGAAACAACAACAACAACAACCACAACAAACCAAAGAGAAAACATTTCCTGAATATTTCTACAAATTGTTTTAATTTTTATTCTATCTTGTATTTCTATTTTTATCCTATATTTCAGTTGTTTCCAGAGGACAAATAATCAAGAATAATCACGTGAATAAAAAACCCTGTTAGGTTCTCCATCATACTGTAATCTAATCTACAAAGCTGGGCAAATATGTGGGCTAACAGGCATGCTGGGAATATGCAGGAAAAAGTGGACATTGTTATAGACAGATTGCAACTAATTTGCAATTATGTCATGCCAAAGAACACTTATATATCCTAAAAAACTCTAAAAAACATTCTCAGTATGAGTAATTCTGCGCAGGCACAAACTAGTCCCTTACATTAAAACAAAGCTGCTTGCTCATTGCTTAGTGATGACTCTCACTTACCTTTGCCTTAAAATACATTCACATGGCATCGCTAATATCACTAGAGTGTGCCTATGATTTTTCAGGACGTATTTGATCTTTAGTGCAGCACTCTCAAATGAACTGGCAAAGCAAATTGTGTGGACAAAGAAGTCTTTAACATAGTAAACACACACACCCTCCCCCACCCCAACCCCCCCATTATTCGATTGTTCAGTAAGAAGTTTTAAGAGTTTTCCAGAAATTTTCTTCTTGAAAAGGGAAATAAAAGCCTGTGACTGCTGGGATATAAGCTTTTGACCACATTTGTGTCCTAACTTCCTTCATTAAAAAGACTCTTTCAATTCAGCTGCCATGCCAGATTAATTGTTGTAGTAAATACTACTAGTGATGGTTTCTGTGGAAAATGTTAGATTCTGCTTTAATCTTTGTTAAAATCTGAACTATTTATTTATGACTTTCATTTTTCTCCATAATCTGGAGGGGGTGTTTATAATTTATACTTTTAAATGTCTCAAAAGTGGAATAGCCTCTTGCTGAGATGTATTTTAATCTCTTCTGATAGGGAAGAACCATGATTTTCTCTTTAAGTACACCCCTGGGTTGCAGGGTGAACAGGTGAAATTAAACTTCTAGAAACTGCCTGCACACACGACGAGACATATCCTGCTCTTCTTTACACTGTTATAAAACAGGAGTAAATCCACAGATTTTAATGTGAGTATTGCTGTAAGCACAGGCAGATATGTCCCGATGTTCTGAGGGGGGTTATAAATGGCTGGCCAAAAATAACAACTGTGCTTCCTTAAAGTGTAAAGCTAATAAGTGGTTTCACTGCAGTAATTATCTTTAAATCAAATCTTCATACTGAACTTCTCGCAGTCAGTTCACAGGGAACTATGAGGAACGTGGTTGTTAGGGTGAAGTGTTACCTGTAATCATCTCAAACACATGACAGCAAAACTTCTTGTTTAGTTACAGCATTTTTGTATGGATTTTCTGCTAAAGTGACAGTTGTGGAAGCTGAATCTTTTATTTAAGCTGAGAACAGGCAAAACACAAGCAAAAAACATGAGAGTATCTCAGGTGCTCTTCTATTAAGTTGCAGGAACTTTGAGGAGTGAGCGCAAAATTCACATGTCAAACTAGCAGTCTGCTGCCAGTGGTGCTGCTGCCCTTTATCCACCCGGCTGCTCCTTTCAACACACACTTCCCATCATGGAATAGCACACCCGGGGGCCCTTCTCCTCTCCCATTTTACTCTATTGCCTGGATGCGGTGGCCCCCCAGGCCAGCAGTAAGTGTGAGGGAGAAAGGTGGTGGTGACAGGCTGAGAGGGAAGTGGGAAGAAAAGGCCTTAGTCTTCCCTCATAAGGAAGAAGAGCAACTCTCTGCAGCGTGAGATGGTGCAGACGTGGGAGAAAAGAGTTTTTTCCTCCTGAATGCTTTCTAGTCACTTGTAACCTCCGCTCTCTTCACTTCCAGTGTAGCTCTTACTTCCCATAGTACTTTCCTACCCTTCCCTATGCAGTAACCCTATGCTCTATGTACCAGCAGACCACGGTGAGTCATTTTGGTAGCAGGGGTGCTGCATACACTCCTTCTTACCCCTGGCCTTATGCTTGAGCCTGTTCTCATGGCAGTCACCTTATAACCTCAAACACTTGCAACCCCTTTTCCCAGGGGGCAGTGGTATCTGCCTGTGCTTGAGGCATGTAGTTTCCCTCTCTCGCTCCCCCTCTCACATCGGAGTATGCGAAGTAGCTGAATAGCTCAGGAATAGTTCAGGAATAGAACTTGGAAATGTAATTTTAATTCCAGCCACGAGGGGACCTTCGTAGTTTACTGTCTCTTTCCTGCAGGTTCATCTGATTCGTACATCAAGATCTATACAACCATGCTCACTTCCACCAATATACCACATCTACCTCCTAGCTGAGGATGTGCTCAAATCCCAGTATCCCCTGCTAAGTCATCTTTCCTATCCTTGGAATGTGCATCCAACTTTATTCCGCTGCTTAAACCCAACAGCATCTTTCCTGTGTTTACCCAGCAGCTTTGGATTCCCCTTTCAGGTCACCAACTTTCTACAGACTCTGGGCTGCTCAGGAGCAGCAGTACTACGGCGCACTAGCAGCTGAGCTGACAGCAGGGCTGGAGAATAGAAAAAGTGATTTCTGCATGTGCTGATCCACAGATTCTGGGCCAGAGAACCAGGGCAGGGGACAGCTGAAACATTGTGTCACTTCACATCTTAATCATCCAGCCACAGTAGGATTTCAAAAACTGCTGCCTGAGTTACAGCTATGCTGCTTCTTCCGTAAAAGCAGTTTCCTAAGTCCTTTTTTCATATGGCATTCATTGAGCAGATGTCCAGAGATTATATTAAAAGTCTCCAAGCCTTGCACAGAGGAATTTGGCAAATAGCCTAAAAAAATTAATCTGAAAAAGAAAGAGCTCCCATTTATTGCAGCAATTGCATTCATGTCATATAACCAGGGTCCGGAGTCTCGTTCTCCTCTTGCATGTGGTAGCTATGCACTTGGATAGTTTGATCTGGTTGTGTTTGTATGACAAAAAGGGGATGTGACAGCCACATGCACTAACCTGCTCACTTAATCTAGCCAGTAGCAAAGACAGAGCAACTGAAACACCAGCCGGGGTCCCTTGCCCGTTTGTAGTGGGTGACCAGCCGATGAAGCTGTCTGCCCTCACTGCCATTGCTGCTCTGCCAGCTACACCAGGCTGACCCGGCCCAGAACCTGCTCTGCTCCCACCTCCTCTCTGCAGAGAAGCATCATCTTTCCGCAGAGTCGCTCCTGACTGACCCCACTCCTCACAGGAGCTCAGCCCATCCGTCGCTTTTCTTTTTCGACTTTCCAGGAGGAGCTGCGATCTTCATTTCAGCCACAGGGGGGAACCTTTGACTTGATCATGAAAGGTCTGTGGGCGAGGTGGGATCTTCCCTTAGACCCGACCAATTTTCACGCCCGTGTACCTTTCTTCAAGTCCTGAAAAAGGGCCTTCCTATCGGAAAACGTACCCACCTTTTTTTCCCTCCCCAATTATATCCTGCAAGAGATATCATAACTACTTATAAATGCTATCTTGCTTGTATCTGTTGCATCCAAGAGAGACACACGAATCCCAGCTCTCAATTACTTTTCAGGTCTTCTTAGGTCATGCTCAGGTTGGAATTGAAGGACACGGTGTTTCAAAGAATCACAGAATGGTCAGGGTTGGAAGGGACCTCTGGAGATCATCTAGCCCAACCCCCCCGCCAGAGCAGGGTCACCTACAACAGGTTGCACAGTTTCTCAGCTGTCACGCTCGACCCTCTGAGAAGTCTCATGTGGGCAAGAAAGTATGTGCAAAGCAGGCCAAGTTCAACCCCAGTCTCCCCTCTACACCATATTTAAACTGTTGTCTACGTGAAATCTTTCCTGTCTGTTAGAAGTGTCCATAGCACCTCCTTTGCCTTTGTATTGTCAAGGCTTAGACACTCTATGGGAATGCAAACTGAAAGGAAGTAAAAATAAGTAACATGTTAATGATAACAATGTTTAGAAAGGGATTTCATGGGAATGAAATGGTCTTTTTTTTTTGCCAATATAAATAAAGGCAGAAAGTTCTTTTTGTAGCAAGAGTGTGTGAAATGTGAAACCTCAGCAGTGAGAAGCAATACCGATATGAATCAGAATGACTGTGATAAACAAAACTTTTTAGGGCTGGAAGTGGGAATGTGATCCGGTGGTTACAGCAGCAGAAAGCAAATCTGAAGCGCCCATTTCTGCCCCCGACTCACCATGTGTCTGTAGTCAACTCATGTACTGTCTGTACATCAGTTCACCCATCTGTAAAACAGGGACACACATATCTGTATCTTATCAGATCCAGCTCTTGCCAAGCGTCATTAACGGATGCTGACAGCCCTTTGCTGTCAGGAATGCAGGATTTCACAAGTGGAAAGTACAAGTCATTACAACTTCACCAGGACAAAAGCGCCACTCCTTTTGTTAAAACAGTTGTACACCTACAAGCAAACGTGGTGACACCCGACTGGGTGAAGAATCTCTTTATTCTCCTGGCAGTGTTGAAAGACTCTGAGTTAAATCTTACACAAACTTCAGAGATCAGTAGCTCTCTAAAGCTAATATGCCATAAAAGCAGGCAGCTAAACCTATCTAATTTTATCCAACCAATCATCACTGATATTATTAAACTGACATTTTTCTAATTTTATACATATACTAATTTATTAAAATTAAATGTATTGCATATATTTTTTCCATCTTCATTAGTTGAAATTAAATCCTTTATAAATTACATTTTATAACTGAACTATTAACTAATCTTAGCCCTCTGTGGAGTGAGTTGGTGGTCTCAGAACCGTTGCTAAGGTTAAGGTTTCCTAAATAAGGAAACCTTTTGAATAAGGTTTCCTAATCATAGACCACATATAGTCCCGTAATTGCAGAATCGGCTGATAGAGCAACGGCCAAAAGAGGCTGGAAACGGAACTGTCCTTCCACGTGCCGCACGGCTCCCTGAAGGGTTCCTGTTTGCCCTGCGAACGCTGGCACTTAAGGTCTCTCCTGTGAATAAACTCTTTTTCTCTCCTGCTCGTCTATAGACGGACGCTGCCACAGCTACAGAAATTAGTTAAGTGGGTCTGACCTGTGCGTATGGAATCTTCCATACCCGTTTGTTTAAAACTGGCCTCTGCGTTTTTGGCTGCGACCTGTAAATTTATCACAGCGAGTCTTCTTATAAAGCTGCCAGTTACAGACTCACACTTTTCATTAAACTGTTATGACTTTAGGTATGTATTAGGGCTAATCAGTCTTCATATTTTGAGACTGCCTTTCTGCACTAAAAAATTTGAAACTAATTACAAGGTTAATAATAAAAGCAGTGACTCTGTCTTCTTTCAGAAACAACTTAAACCCGTTCTGGTCTATCATGAAGGAATACCCTCCTACTTCGGTTTTCTGTCTGTTGGTGAAAAGCTGCCCTGCCAACCATTTTCTTCAGCATTTTACTGCTAGCGAGTGTTTGTACATAATTTGGCTGTCACCCCCACCTCACCCACCACATACACCTTGGCAGCTCCTTTGTGCTTCGACACAAAGAACTAAATCCACCACAAGACTTGGCCGTCTCAGCTGGAAATTCAGATTGTCTGAATTCCTGGTTAGGCACCACTTAATTCTAGAAAAGCATCTGAAGACGCCTGAATTTTTCCTTCTGAAGTTCCCCAGCTGCCTTCCTGCCTGCTCCCCGGGCATCTGCAAGTTGTGGGCTTTGTGAGCGGCGCGGCAGTTGCCTCAGGAGAAGGCACATCGTGCGGTGGTGCCATTTCCACAGACTTTTCCGAAGGCTACCTGCAAGATCGGGCTCCAAAATAGTCAACTGCAACCGAATAATCCGAACGAATCAAGACAGGTTGACAAATTATTTATAGCATCACAGGACCAAGAAGTGCTGGCCGCAGCCTGGGCTGCCTCGCGTTACGTGTTGAGGGAACGCGGCCTCTTTTGCAAGGAGCTCGCAGCCCGAGTACCAGGCAAGAGACAACAGATGGCAAGAGACAGATGGGAGCGTACAAGGAAACAATGAGATAAATGAGCAAAAAACTAAGTTGAAGACTTTAGCATTTGGTTCCAAAATTATTAGTTTTATTAATCATCTCAGCTGATGTAACCCTACGGTAGGACGCCTTTCCTGTTCCAAAGGTCTTCATCGCTGCAATTACAACAGATGCTGCAGCCCAGCACGGGTTACCTTTTAGGTGAAGAGTGGGAGTGAAGCAGGGAAGAAGTACCGAGTGTGTGTGTGGAGGGGGTTGTTATTTGCTGAAATTCATTCAGAAAAGGTGGCCGGGGTATCTCAGCAACCCGGGGCTGAGGGTAACCTGGTTAAACACTGCTCAGCCTGTAAAGCGCTGACTGACGGAAAACTCCGGCTTTACGGGAGGCCCCTGCAGCCCCGGGCACACGCAGCCGAGCTTGTTCGCAA